AATCCCCATAACCGTCAATTCTATACATGAAGTTTTAGGGCTGCCAATGGGGGGACTTGATCTGAATTCAGCTGATCCATCGCCATGCATCGATGATATAGTTACGGCATGGCGAAAACAATTCACAAAAGACAGATGAGGCCGAAAGATGTTATGAACGTTATACAGAAATCAGTTGATGCCGGTGATTTGTTCAAGCTGAGCTTCTTAGTTATAGTTGTCAACACCCTTGCGGAATGCAGCAGGGTGGGTGTGTGCAACCTGCGTTTCTTGAACCGTTTGCAGAGCTTGAAAATGATTCCACAAATCAACTGGTGTAAGTACATATTTGATTGCATTACAACCAGCAAGAAGTGTTGGAGTAGAGACAGTCTCATGTCATTCTATGCAGGACCTTTGACGTGTTTGACAGTAAGTAAAATATTTGTAATACACATCTTAATAAAAGAGTAATACGAGCATCAATATAAAACACTTGATATATTCATTTTATGCAGATGTTGTATGTTCATTATACTTGATCTGAACACCTACAAATAGCGACAGATGCACCTCCTATTAGGGCGTGGACGATGGACCTGTTTCGGAAACGGCAAGAGTTCGAGATTAGACATGGCGGTCTTGGATATGTTGCGATGAAACATATGTCCACTGTGGACCGAGGAGGATGCGACGCTAATGTTACAGGGGGTATCGCACGAAAAACGATGGCTGAGTCAAGCAGAAGTAATCAATCTAAAGATGCGCGAAAGGCAAAGGAGGTAACGTATAATATTTTTAGACTTTAATGAATTATTGTGTTAAAAAACTTACTTAATAACTTAAATATAAGTCATTATGTATATGCCATACACATATACTACCGCGGATGTTCGATCGTACGTACCGGAAAACCCTTGCATATACTGATATATGAACAATGTTGACCTTGGGGTTTCCTTATGCTGCCACTGGCCAATGGTTAATGTAGATATGGCTTGCAAATATCCTCCCATTCACCAAACATTGACACCTATGCTCATTATATAACACGACTTACGGTCCCCCAATGCTCAAAATCGAAATTCTCGATGCATAGGTATGGACCCCGACCGATCAGGGGTTATGCCTTCATTTATTTTTTAATTTAATTACAAATTTTGTTATGGTTGAGTGTGTTGTCTTGTTCCCATGCATTCACGCAACAGGGGTGTAGACATACTTAACTTAGATACGCTACTTAATTTATTGATTGAGCTCAACAACAACTAATTAAAAACCCAATAGACGCTGTGTTTTTATGTGAACAGCGACTGAAAAAATGTAATCATATGTTTTACATTATGATGGGCTGTTTAATAAGATTAGTAATGTGTTTTTTTAATATATTGTGTGTATGTAGACATGATGTTCACCTAATTTACAAGTTACACATACACAACGACATTACATGGACATTAACAAACCAAAACGACATAGCGATTGTTATTTGTGAACATATGGTGCGTAGATCGTACACATCATATTTATTGTTTTCCTCAACGATTTTTTTTCTTTCCCTAGGGAATGTATGAGGATCATGGGTGAAAAGAATGCGGAGTTGTGCTCTCGAAGAGTAGAGGCAGACTTACTGCTGGAAGCGTATGTTGAACAATTCCCGGGTGATACAGATTTTGACATCTTCAAAAGACAATTAGCAGCGTTGTTTAAAGAGAGCAAATGGGATACTAGAACAACCGTGGGCAATGAGATTGAACAAACGATGTGCCAAGTCCCTAACCAGGCAGTTGTTGAGGTAACTCCTACGAAGCTGGCCACAATACCGGAACCAGACTTGTTATCGCTGATGTCGCAATTCTGGACTAGTCCAACGGTTATTGCGGAGGTGGATAGGGCATCCAACGAGAAAACGATACATCTGTCCAATGAAAACAGGAGATACACGCGGTCTGTTCAAAAGGAAACAGTTGGGATTCAGACAATACAGCCGCAGGTGCAGCAAGTTGGTAGCGTACGGAGTAGGAATAGTGATCAAACTGAGAATAAGACAAGTAAGATTTGTAAACGAGCGAGACACAGCGATAAAGCAATTGCTTTGGGTGGAGAAATCGAGCCACCAACATTTGATTTAGGGACAAGTCCATCAGGTAAACAGGTAGTTGATGTTGTGGATACGGTGAATACACTAGCAATAAAGGAGTGTCCGAGGCTGACCTTGTTGAAGAGGGATCCGAAGTTGAGCTTCAAGCTACGGTCACCTTATATCACATGTGTTGTTTCCTTCAACGTAACAAATGACGAGCGTAGGCTACAAGATTGGATCTTGAGGGGTATCGGAGGGTTAATGTAAGTTGTACATTACTTTTTCATAGTTCATGCATTTTACTTATATGTCTAAATATATGAGTGTGTATAATGTTTACATGTTAATACCCAGAGAACCTGTTTTCGTATCCTCGTGTGGAAGAAGACTAACACGACAGGCGTTGCAATCTCTTGCATCCCAATCCATGGTTTGTCGAGATGTGTTAGACGGGTGGTCAGCAGTGCTAAACCGAGATGAAAGATTACGGAGCAATGACTCTCCGTGACGCTATTTCTGTCACACCAATGTTTCGGTAAAATCAATAAAAAAGCAGATGTTTGCGCTACGAATAAAGAACATGCATTATATACAAATCAACTAATGGATTTGTTTTGTATCCAGATGGACGGTAGGATGAGGAACCTTTCTCTGGATGTGCACAAAAGATACGAGATTTTCAAAAAAAATCTATAAAGTTTTGCAAACAACGATAAGGATATCATTAGTATGCGCAGCGTTGACATGGTACGTATATAACATGCGTTTATAATATTAGCGTACAATAATTAAAAATATATTGTAGTGGGCGCCTGTATCTTATGTATTTATAATTACAGGTATTCTTCCCGATCGTAGAGGAAGCATTCTATTACATTGTTATATTTGATTTGAAACGGCCCTCAATCGCTATCATTGACTCCAAGGATCGGGATGGCAACCTTGAAGATATATATGGAGCTAGTACGGGTAAATATACATTGTTAGTACTAATATTATACATGCGTCATGATTCCTTAAATATTTTGTCGTTTTGATAATTTATTCAGCAAGATATGATGATACTTCATCTTCTGAGAGAGGGCCACGATGCCGGAAAAATTTATGTGGAGATGGATCAGGAGCAAATCAGGACTCGATGGCAGTCACATGAGCGTTCGATTGATTGTGGGGTAATGATGATGCGACATCTGGAGACGTATTTTGGTGCCGATGGAGGGAAGTGGGATTGCGGCCTTTACAAAGAGAGTACAAAGCAGAAAAGGCAGCTAAAGGATCTCCGGACTAAATATTGCGCAAAAATCCTTTTGAGTGACGAGAACATATGTAAGGCTTCCATCATCAATGACGTCGAGCGCTTCATTGCAATGGAAACATCGTTCAATGCCAAGAAGACACGTGGAAATATACGAATTGGTCGAGGGAAGGTGTAGATGGCAATTGTATTCGGTCTTGCCACATGGATAGCTCAATCTTTTGTTTAATGCTTTAGTATCTTCTACAGCGTATAATATGGATATTGTTTATGAACATGATATAACCTGCTGGTTTTGTTGAAAGTGAATATGATAAATTAATATTTTATATGAGTGAACACAAAGCCTGTATGCACACACAATGAAACAGCAGTGGTAACCATACTGCTAATGTAGTATGTGTCTACATGTGCACATGTGCATAATCTATATGTCATGACCACATACCGTTTCATTTTGTAGATAAGCAACCATGTTTGATGTTGAATGAACCAAATGTCTGGTCCTTGATCCAGAGGTGAGTGTGTTGATTAAACCAAATCTTATCTGTTTGTGAACGCATATACATGACATTTGAGCTTACTAAACATGTTCAAATGCATAACGACATGTGTGCACATGCCAATATTGTTTGAGTTTACTGCTTACTATCCATGATCGTTATTTAAAGAACCATATTTATATGATTACGTTTTTACATGATGTCTATAATGTACTACCTACATTCTTCCCACAAACATGCTTTGTGTATATATTGATATACTGACACCAACATATTGACACAACTTGTGGCAGTTTTAACTGATCACTATTTCCGTGGACCGTACTGTGCCATTCAACATGGACAAGCGTTGAACGCATATGGAAGCGTGGGAGTACAACTGGTATGTGTGACTTTCCATGTCATTTAACATGTGGATGGACATGTTGATACTATCCAGCGTAACCTGAACTTGTATCATCGTGTCAGGTTCATTCTGAACTTTATTTTTTGTATACAACCATTTAAATATATATGCATTTTTATCTCGTAACATCGGTATATCAAAATCACGCATTTTGATTACTTTGCATCATGATTTGACTTACAATATGATGAGATGTATAATGACCCTTATGAAAAGTATATGAATGCTACATAGATCTTGATATATGCATGAAACATCAAACGTGTTATATGCATCATGCAAACCAATAGCCTTCTAGTGTGAACTGTGTTTGTGTAGTCTGCTGTTTTTATGTTGTCTAAGTAAAATGATCGTTCCAGTAAGGTTTAATTTTTTCAGTGAGAAACATGTTATATATTTGTGTAATATCAGTATTTGCATCTTGGTTTCATATACTGTCTCTGTGGGCGCTCTACATGTTAGAGACATAATGAACACATACCATGTTTAATGAATTCGTAGTTAAATGCAGTAAACATAATCATTTAAACGGGGATCATTCCATCTCCGAAAAGTTGATGAAACCGTATAAAATATATAAAAAACACAATACAAAATGTACATAACATATCAACAACAGTAATGGCACTAACAAATAGCATCAACTATTGATTCAAGCAAAACACTAAGGTCAAGTTCAAGTTGTTTAACAAATAAAGCCACATAAACAATATGTTTCGATGACGACGACCTATTATAACGAAACGATAAGAATTCTAAATACTTTCCATCTAACTAATCTATCAATTCTGGGCAATTATGTGAGTCATGACCACTACGTTGTCCACACGTTGCACATTTTCGTTTAGTCTTTTTGCAATTAGTTTGCAATTTCTCAGATACACTTACCAGCCTCTTGCCAGTTCCACAACCTTTGTTCCTTATTCCAGATGGTGGTAGAATGGCCACCTCATCAGGTATAGAAACACCTAGATGATCTCTTATCGCATCCAACTTTTGTTGGGATGGGTCTTCGTATGGAACTTCCTTCTCTATATCAACCATGAATTTGTCGAGGTTACGCCCCAATCTATCTAATATAGATTGATCATTGCGGGCGATGCTTATTATGTCGTCGATGTTGGAATATACATCAATTATATACTTTTCTTTATTGGCGTTGACCTCCCCATAACGAACTCTTACGAACTGTATCTGTACTGGAACTAACTCTCGTTTCCATCGACATAGTACGTATTTTTTCGGAATGCATTCAACTTCGTCATTTATTAGTACCTTGAACGCGTGACGACATAGATACCCATTACGTGTAAATAGGTTACAATTGCATTCAACTGTGTTTGTCGAGTAATTACGGCCCACCTATCATGAAAGAAGTTTCCAACAACATCAGTCAAGAAAAAAATAAATATCATATAATCCATTATGTTGAGAGTTAGGGATAGGATACCAGATACGTGATGTTGTCAGCTGATCTCTTGGCCTTGTGGCTTATCACGAATGACTTGAAATCATCCCGGCCTTCGACGGTCTCAATAGCACAAAACCAAACAGCCTTCTTTATTTCTTTTTGGATGTCAAAAAACACGTTCCGACTGTATATGCTTGATGCATGACTTTCTAAACGCAATGGAGTAACAAACTTGGGATTAGTCGTTCTCGTCAATGTCTCGTGAACAGATTGTCTGTATATTTGCTTCTCTATAGCTACGTCGTAATTATTAAGGAATTGCACCAAATCAAACTAGTAAGATTCGTATATGTTGATATACGAATTCGAACTCTCGGATCTTGAGGTTGTTTTCATTAGCCCAGACATCGGCGTGTCCTTGTAATAGGCAGGAATCCACGAGTGTCGGATTTCATACGTCTCTGTAAACCAAGTATCCCCAGCTAGATTGTATTTATCTATCATCTCATTCCAACGGCTCTCGAACTCCGATGGGCCAATATGAATGTTCCATACGAACTTGTTGATGACTTTATTGAACATAGGATCATGATTTAGGGCGACACTAACCTGCATCAACGAAGCTTCGACATATGAAAGAATAACACAAAAACGCATTAAATTATATAGCATTCAATATATACTACTTACCTTTGAAGGGACCTTCTTCATAATGTGCCACATACATAGTTAATGCTTGGATTCCGTGAACACCTTCGGAATAGCCTGCTTCATTGCAGAGCATTGGTCTGTAATTACGAACACTGGTTGCTTCGCATGACACTTTAGAAAGGCCTCTAGAACCCATGTAAAGTTATCAATTGTCTCTCCACTTATAAGAGCGGATCCAACAACAACAACCGCCTTATCATTGTCAACAGCCATGAAAGGAACAAAAATCATTGCATGCCTGGAATACAAATAAAAAAATATGAGTATCTATTCATAGCCACGTCATATGTCCGTTAAAAGAATCAAAGCTGGACAACGTAAATAACTGTATTGCAATCGGTGATCTTACTTGTTAGTGCGAAAGGTTCCGTCGAACGAAATGACATCACCGAATTCTTTGTAGTTAATTCTAGCAATTTCATCCGCCCAGAAAATTGCACTCAACTCCTGCTCATTGCATTTGTATTTAAAAAAAACCGGGGACAACATCACGTCTGTTTGATAGTTTATTGATCAACATTGTCGCGTCCTTATTCGCAACACAAGCAACAGCATCCCTCTTGAAATTCTTGAAGTCAATTTCAAAGATGCGAGTATGCTCAAATCCACCGTTCAATGCGGTCTGAATACGGTGAGCCCTTCTCGCGCCGACTTTGTAGCTTGAGCTATTTAGTACACTTTTGAAATCTGTATACTTCATCTGTCTATTCTTCCGAGAAAAACGACGATCGTTATTATTGAACAATGCATGGTTATGTGCCTCAACGAACTCATATATCTCATAACAAGACCTATCCTTTGTCAAATGGATTCTTATACAAGCATTACAACCACAACGTTTGATGTTTGTATTACGATATCTCCTCTCACCCGGCTGCATGTACAACGAATCAAAATCCTTCTTTTTTGGGTTTCCCTCCCTGCTGCATACAAACCACCTAGTTTGAATTTCGCCATTATTGTTCGTCTTTTTTACATGCATGCGAACATCAAAGCCGGCGTTGTCCGCATAAGCCCTGTACATCCGTTCGACTTCATTTATATTCGCGTATTGTGCTTTCATATTTGGCTTAAGTGCGTCATCGACCTTCGGGATAAAAAACTTTATTCCTTCTGAACTCTCTCCTATGTCATAATCAACTTCTTGTTGTGTAGAAGTTATGCTATCAAGATCTGATGGGAAAAAGTACTTAGGCTATGAGATTAAGGTTGGTATAACAATAATCGAACTTAACAGACCAACATGCAGATAGGTAAAGTGAAACTCTAAACAACTTGAAAAAAATATCTTATTTTATTTGTCGAACATACCTCAATATTACTATTGTCTATATATAGGTAATGTAATCTGATATAACCATTTATGTTACAGGTACAACATGATGGATTTTTATAAAAACCAGACCAAGCAAAGGTTGTCATGACATGATGGCATATATCATAAAGAAAATAGTTTGAGGTAATATGCCACTCCCTTTTGTTTTGAATAATCTGTTAAAATGGGAAAAGTACGTGGGCATATGCATCCATATGAACAACAACATGACATACTACCACAACATCATTGTCAAACTCATGTGTTGTAGTTAACAGGTGTATTGATATGAACTATTTCGGACTGTAATATGAGTTAATATATTCAACATATTCATGTCGACACAGGCAGTGTTCAAATGAACAGATTTCAAATGACACGATCACTTGAACACATATGTGAATATATGATAGCTTATGAAGTACATCTGTGAATATGATAGCTTGTGAAGTACATATGTGAATATGATAGCTTATGTTCATGCCGATGATGTACCATAATTTAAGTTGTACCATATGCATGCTTGGTTGTACTTTTTCAAGTTTCACGTGATTTATCTGGTTCACATGGTTCACATTTATAAATGAAGAATAATAATAGATTCTGGTTCATTCAAAATCAAACATGGCTGCTTATGTACAAAATGAAACAATATTGGCATGTGGTCATGACATATAGATTATGCACATGTGCACATGTAGACACATACTATATTAGCAGTATGGTTACCACTGCTGATTCATTGTGTGTGCATACAGGCTTTGTGTTCACTCATACAAAATATTAATTTATCATATTCACTTTCAAAAAAACAAGCAGGTTATATCATGTTCATAAACAATATCCATATTAATGCGCTGTGAACATATACTGCATTTGCATTCTGTTCATATTGCTAATTCCGCTATGATCACACTGCATTTGAATGTGTAAACGACCACAGTCGCTGATCACATGAACACATGGAGGCAGCGAAAATGGCATGCACCGTATGACATCGTCCATGTGTTTGTGTGAACAACGTTTGTGTCTTGCAATGAAAACAAGATGTTCATAGACTGCAAGCGATGCGAGAATATGAACATTTTCAAAATCAATAATCGTTGTGCATGTGTGCAGATATGAACATAGACTACAAGCGCATTATATGTTCATGCTGATGATTTCGGTGTTCACGCTTCCTTTGGATCTGTTCATATGTTGTATGTCTTATTATCTACTGACATTTTTTCATATTTTGTAATGTGTTTTTTGAACATATTTAGTACCAGATAATGCATCAGATTCTTGGACGATCTCATCTATATTGCAAGCATATTTTATATACCACAAAGGTAATGGTTGTCCATTTAAACAATATACATGAAATACTAATCACTTACCAATCGGAACGCTTTGATCGTCTTCTTCATCATCGGTAATCGAATTCCGACCGTATTCATATCATAATTAAGTTTATCGTTTTCATTATTCTGAAATTCTTTTAGAATAGGATTCTCCATGTATCTTGAACGAAACGAAAATCTTGTACACTTAGACAACCAATTTCAATATATGTATAAAATCAATTGAAATGAAGACCATGAACATGAAATAATAAAGAAATCAGGAAAATCTCATGAACAATTAGAGGTATCTTTTAAGATTTGTAACTCCTAATTAATTATTGGGGGTTACAACAAGGTTGAATTACCAAATTACCCTTATTATTAATTTATAATTTAGATTTGAACCTAAAGTCAAGAAAAAATGTGATTGGTTACGGTTGGTTTGCATAGTTTGTACCATATGGTTGGTTTCTATTTGAACCAACCTCTATATATATATATACATACATATATATATATATATATATATATATAATTCTATATATGAAATACAAATACGCCATCTTATGTCACGCCTTGAAAAATGTCGCGTTCTCGCTGTCGCATGTAAGGATTGTGGCTTGACCACGTCGTTACGCCACGCCTCGCCCCATTTTGAACCTTTTGTATATATATTATCGAGTATGGTTGATATGTTAATTTTTACTTGTATTTTTAAGATATACATTAAAATTTAATTTTTTAGTTCATAGTTTAAATTTAAAGCTCATAATTAGCCTAAACTGTCTAAATCGGTCAAACCAGATCGCAATCTTGTAGTCTACTCGACCGCTGTGGACACATCAATTCAAATCGCACAGTTTGAAAATATCTAAAACTGCCACTCGAAGTTTATTAAAGTCTTAAACCGTCTAGACCAAACCGTTTGATCTTTAATTATTATCTTTATTTCTTAAAATAATATTGAGTAAATTTACATTCCTTATCATGTGGTTTACTGATTGTCATTACCAGAACATCAAACACGTATATTACACTCCCGATACCTGTAATATACAAAAGCACACGCTCTAGGTTACTCCCTCTAACAAAACATGTTTAACTCAATTGACTCAAGGGGCATTTTTGCTTTTACTCTCTTTTTGTCCTTTTTCTATTTTGTATTATAATATTATATTATATATATACACATATACATATATATATATATACATATAAACATAGAAACACAGTTCGTCCCTCCACTTAACACCATCATTGACTTGTGACAAATCAAATGAGAATCACAAAAAGATTGAGAATTTTGAGAATCAATTTCAAACACAATTCAGATTAATCAATGATGAGAGTTAAGAGGTAACATTTTTCATATATGGTGGCATCCACTGTAACGCCCCAATCCACATATTGCATGTAACACATATTTCATACCAAAGAAATACATATTCATTTACCATTCAGGTCCCTTAGTACAAGAATCTTTCATGACCAAATA